TTTCAGTTCAAATTCACCATTTCCGTTAGTCTTTCCGGATGCCATAAGGTCATCAGCGTCAACGCCTAGAATAAATAATTCCTTTTAATTTTGCTTATTGGTTGGAAAGGGGAAACAATATGCTCTTTGATACTTGAAGTATAGCAAGTAACAACTTTTTTTAGGATTATGTTAGCTTTAAGTCAGTTTAGCATGTCCTTTAGAATTTTTTAATGCTGTCCATAGCTTTTTTCTGTTTTTCTCTTCAAACAACCATATGTATAAAACTCATTTACCTCTATCATCATCGTACAGTTTAACAGTAACACCAGCAGCAGGTTTTCCATCGCAAATCAGTTTCCCTCTCACACCGGATGACTGAGTTCGGCCTAGGCCAAGTGACGATACAGTAGAGATAAAGGCAGCAAGAACTAACAGCTTCAGCATGATCTGAATAAAATCGCAGAGTGGAAGACGAAAGAGCAATAAGGGCGCAAAAGTTTTTAAACGGAGAAAAATCATATTGGAAGTTGAATTTTAATATTTTGATTTTAACATAACAAATATCACATAGAATTTACTTCATTATTTTTATCTTATTTGCTCACAATTGTTCAGACAGAATAAGAGAGCAAGGTGAGTCAGAGTCAGCGATGACTAGATAATTGTATTGAATGCTGAACTGGCAAATGGGAAAATGTATAAAGATTAAAAAAAATCACTTTGTTATAGTCTTTCACGAGCCTTATTGTAATGTTTCGATCATAAGTTCATCACAATGTCGTAGAATTCATCAGTAGTGTAGATGGCTATATGTAATTGATTTTAAGGTTATAACAATTAATAACTATTGAGAAGCTTAGTAAAGGCTATTACAACCTACTAAGTCAAAAGCTCTAGCAAGAATAAGTTTAAAAAGGCAGCGAAAACTCAGAATTATTAAGTGGAAACACTGAAAATAGTAACAAAGAAGCAAGGAAGCTGAGTCTAATATCTGGAATGAAACTCGTGGATCGTCTCATAGATCGCTGAACACACTAGAAGTGCCACTTTAATAAATTAAACAGTTGTTCTCCTCCTCTGAGATAGGATTACAATATGATCACTGATCCTTGTTATCAGTAATGTTAGTTTGAAATGAAAGAAGAATTAACAATAACATTATCCGTAACAGGAGCAGTAGCGGATAAAGTTAAACTATAACGCTAACTGTAGAGTCTGAAGGGTTATATATGAAATCGTTCTATACGATTGTCGAATGTCACAAAAACAACGATGAATCAAGTTTTCGAAGGCCAAACTACGAAAACAATGACTCAACAAACCTGAGAGCAATTATGTCGAGAACTGAAAGTGTCTCTTACCTCAGAGATGATTTTCTTTGCAGTTTTGTTACCACCCAT